CGGGGACGGGGAGAGAGGTGGAATGGGTAGGGTGGTGGGACATGGGTTTGGGGACATGGGAGGGAGGTGGGACACGAGTTTGGGATATGGGAGGGAGGTGGGACATGGATTGGGGGAAACGGGAGGGAGGTGGGACACGAGTTTGGGACACAGGAGGGAGGTGGGACACAGGGAGGGACACGGGAGGGAGGTGGGACACGGGGTGGGACACGGGGAGGGCTCAGGGCTGGTCTGTGCAGTGTGGTCCCCACTCCTGCTGCTTGGGAGGGAGAGGGAAATCTGCATGACAAGTGGGCCCTTCCCGCCGGGAGCAGACAAAGAGCAGCTCAGACAGCCTGGACACAGCTTTGTCGGGAGAATCCCTGGGAAAGTCTCTTCCCCGGGGGGGTCAGGGTCTCCCTCCACTGCCTCCATTCATCCCTCGGGAATTCTTGGCCAGGGGAACACAGCCAGGCTGGGCTCACTGCCAAGAGACTGCACAGGGTCAGGCTCTGCAGTTTGGGCTCCCAAACTGGGTGCAGGGACCATCCCAAGGTGCTGAGATGATGGAATTCCTCCTCTCCTCTCCGTGCAGGATGTGGACAACAAGGTGGAGCGAGTATGGGGCGACTGCAGCTGCAGGAAGAAGTATTCCCATGTGGATCTGGTGGTGATGGTGGATGGCTACGAGGGGGAGAAGGGAGCTGTGGTGGCTGGGAGCCGTGGCTACTTCCTCAAGGTGAGCTTCACCAGGGATGGGATGATGGGCAAGGAGGGGAATGAGGTGGGATGAGGGTTGTGGCTTCTCCTGGCCTGGGTGGGATGATGGGTGACACCATACTGGTGGTGTCCCACTCTGGGCTTGGTGGTGCCTCCACATCCATCCCTGTGGTGATCTGGGTGATGCTCAGCCCTGGAGCCAAAGCATCTCTAGAAGTTCCACCTGGAGCTGCTGAGCACGGAGCGATGGGTTTGTGTGTGACAGGCTGTGTGTCCCCTTGTCCCCAGGGTCCCCTGGTGTTCCTGGAGCAGGCTCTGATCCAGTATGCCCTACAGAGCCTCCGTGCCCGGGGGTACACCCCGGTGTACACCCCCTTCTTCATGCGCAAGGAGGTGATGCAGGAGGTGGCCCAGCTCAGCCAGTTCGACGAGGAGCTCTACAAGGTGAGGTCTCATGGGATGTCCTGTCACTCCACACCTGGACAGGGCCACCCCCACGGCGCTGTGGCTGTGGGGAGGGAGGTGGCAGGGTCCCCTCTGCCCTGGCAAGGTCCTCTCTGCCCTGGCAAGGTCCTCTCTGCCATGGCAAGGTCCTCTCTGCCATGGCAAGGCCATGGTGGTTCCCTTCCCCTCTCTCTGGGTCCATCTCCGTGGATGACACATGATGGTGATGAGATGACGGGGAGGTGGCTCATCTCTGGGGTCCATCTCCATGGGGAACTCTTTGTGGTGACACTGCAGTGACAAGGAGATGACTTCCCTCTGGGGTCCATATTTACATGTGACCCATGATGATGAGGAGGAGATGACAGGATCATCCGTGGGGTCCGTCTCCATGGGTGACACTTTGTGGTGACACTGCAGTGACAAGGAGGTGTCCCATCCCCACAAGTGACATGTTGTGGTGGTGATAAGATGACAAGGAGGTGGCTTAGTCTCTGGGTTCCATCTCCATGGGTGACATGATGTGGTGCCAAGGAGGGGGATTGTCTCAGGTCCATCTCCACAGGTGATATCTTGTGATGTCAATGAGGTCATGAGCAGGTGGCTTCTCTCTGGGGTCCATGTTTATGGGTGACCCCTGATGATGATGATGATGATGAGATGACAGGGGGGTGGGTCATCTCTGGGGTCCATCTCCATGGGGAACACTTTGTGGTGACACTGCAGTGACAAGGAGGTGGCTCCTCTCTGGGGTCCATGTTGATGGGTGACCCATGATGATGAGGAGATAGCAGGGTCATCTCTGGGGTCCATCTCCATGGGGAACACTTTGTGGTGACACTGCAGTGACAAGGAGGTGGCTCCTCTCTGGGGTCCATGTTGATGGGTGACCCATGATGATGAGGAGATAGCAGGGTCATCTCTGGGGTCCATCTCCATGGGGAACACTTTGTGGTGACACTGCAGTGACAAGGAGGTGGCTCCTCTCTGGGGTCCATGTTGATGGGTGACCCATGATGATGAGGAGATAGCAGGGTCATCTCTGGGGTCCATCTCCATGGGGAACACTTTGTGGTGACACTGCAGTGACAAGGAGGTGGCTCCTCTCTGGGGTCCATGTTTATGGGACACCCATGATGATGATGATGATGAGATGACAGGGAGGTGGGTCATCTCTGGGGTCCATCTTCATGGGTGACATGATGTGGTGACAAGGAGGTGGCTCCTCTCAGGTCCATCTCCACAGGTGACATCTTGTGGTGTCAGTGAGGTCATGAGCAGGTGGCTCCTCTCTGGGGTCCATGTTTATGGGTTTATGGGTGACCCATGATGATGATGATGATGTGATGACAGGGTCATCTCTGGGGTCCATCTCCATGGGGAACACTTTGTGCTGACACTGCAGTGACAAGGAGGTGGCTCCTCTCTCGGGTCCATGTTTATGGGTGACCCATGATGATGATGATGATGATGATATGACAGGGAGGTGGTTCATCTCTGGTGTCCCACCACCATGGGCTACACATTGTGATGGCAGTAAGATGACAAGGAGGTGGCTTAGTCTCTGGGATCCATCTCCATGGGTGACATCTTGTGATGTCGGTGAGGTCATGAGCAGGTGGCTCCTCTCTGGGGTCCATGTTGATGGGTGACCCATGATGATGAGGAGATAGCAGGGTCATCTCTGGGGTCCATCTCCATGGGGAACACTTTTTGGTGACACTGCAGTGACAAGGAGGTGGCTCCTCTCTCGGGTCCATGTTTATGGGTGACCCATGATGATGATGATGATGTGATGACAGGGTCATCTCTGGGGTCCATCTCCATGGGTGACACTTTGTGGTGACACTGCAGTGACAAGTAGGTGTCCCATCTCCACAGGTGACACATTGTGATGGCAATAAGATGACAAGGAGGTGACTTAGTCTCTGGGATCCATCTCCATTGGTGACACATGGTGCCAAGGATGTGGCTCCTCTCTGGTGCCCACCTGTGGGTCACCCAGGTGGCTTCTCCCTCCCATCACCCCCTTTGCATCACCCCCACCCTCCTACGATGAGTAGGAGTTGGCTGACCCCAACCCATGGTGGTGTTGGACCCTTTGGAAGAGGAGACCAACCCCCTATGTGTCCCACAGGTGATCGGGAAGGGCAGTGAGAAGGCCGAGGACAACTCCATCGACGAGAAGTACCTGATCGCCACGTCGGAGCAGCCGATCGCG